ACACTTAAAAATAAGACCCAAAACTATACAGCTACTATAAAAAATATATAGAGGAAACACATCATGAACTTGGTCAAGGAAAATATTTTATAGCAAAGACTTCAATAACACAGGCAACAAAAACAAAAATAAAAAATGGGACTATATTATACTAAAAAGTTTCTGCAAAGCAAAGGAAAGAAACAAGAGACTGAAGAAACAACCTTTAGAAACAGAGAAAATATTTTCAAGATATTTATCCAACAAGGAACGATTATCCACAATATACAAGGAACTCAACAGCAAACCGACAAACAATCCCACTTAAAAATGGGCAAAGCATCAGAATAGACGTTTCTCAAAAGAAGACATGCAAATGGCCAACTTCAACATCACTAATTATTAGGAAAATGTAAATGAAAACCAAAATGAGATGTCATCTTACCCCAATTATGATGGCTATGATAAAAATATAAAAAGTTAACAGATGCTTGTGAGGATGCAGAGAAGAGGGAAGTCTTACATACTGTTAATGAAAATATAAACTAGTGCAGTAATGGAAAAGAGTATGAAAGTTTCTCAAAAAAAATAAAAATAGAACTACCATATGATCCAGCAATCCTACTGCTGGGTACTTACCAACTGAAAGGAAATTAGTATATCAAAGGGATACCTGCACCCCTATTGTAGTTTTATTAGGCACTATTCACAATAGCCAAAATAAAGAACCAATCTAAGTGTCCATTGATAGATTAACAGATAAAGAAAATATGGTATATATATACAATGGAGTACTATTAGGTCATAAAAAGAATAAAATATTATATTGTCTTTAGCAACAACATGACAGAATTGGAAGTCATTATGTAAAGTGAAATAAGCCAAGCACAGAAAGACAAATAGTGCATGTTCTCCAACATGTATGGGAACTAAAATTTTTATTTCATAGAGGGTGCAATGATGGATTTCAGAAGCTGGAAGGGTGGCGGTGTGAAGGGGTGTTGGTTAATGGGTACAAATATGCGGTAAACGGTGTAAGTTCTAATGTTCAATAGCACAATAGTGAGACTGTGGTTAATAATTTGTTGTATATTTCAAAGTAGCTAGAAGTGAAGATTTGAAATGTTCCTAATGCACAGAAATGATGAGTCTTTGAGGTGATGGGTATCCTAAATATGCTGATTTGATAATTACACATTTTATACATGTATCAAAATATTGTATGTACTGCATAAATATGCACAATTGTTATATATCAATTAAAGCAAGAAAACAGTTTTAAGATAAGTAATGTCTTTGTTGGACCTTCAATTAAGGGTAGGTTTTAATCTTGCTTTGATTACATTTCCATTCGAGTATATTAGATCATACTCAAAGACGTAAATAGCAGACAAGTTAGGTAGAAGCTGTGCTGCCTTTTGATAAGTTTTATAATTATATACGATGTACTTTGTTGAAAATGTTAAGAGATTATAAGATTTTCAATAACATTTATTTTTAAAACCTTTCAAACCTAGACTTTAGGTTGACTCACAAAATAATTTAGTTTAAAAATAACATCTATTTTTAAAATCTTTCAAACCTAGACTTTAGGTTGACTCACAAAATAATTTAGTATCCAAATGAACTTTGAATCACTAAAAGCAGAATCAAAATAATGAATGTAATTCTGAGTTTTAGTATGGAAAGCCAATGCTTGGTTTTAAACATCTCGTTTTGTATAAGGGCTCTGTCATAGGCCTACTTGGAGAATATGTATACTCCTACATTTTTCCAAATTAGGCCAAAATATGTGCCCCTTTTATGTAATGGAGGTCGAAATGTGACTTGGGGTATTAAAATAACCCTCCACTTTCTATTTTTCAGAAACTCAACTTTACATAAATTTGTGGGCTGCCTTAATATTCAGAACCCTAGCAAGGGTTGGGACTCCTACGTCCAAAAAAAGGCTCTCTTACTGAGGCCAGGCTTAGACTTAAATCAAATTCTCTTCCAGGGAGCTATCCAGGGTACTAGACCGTGTCTACTGAAGGTGTCATGATACTCTGGGCAAAAACTCTGCCCATTTCAATGTCTACCTATTTTCCTAATTTCAACTTGCTTATTTTTGATCTGTTGACCACAGGTAACCTAGAATTCTATCACCTGCCACATGTGTTCTCATTCTAAATGAATGATTTGCCTCTCTGTCTCCCTTTCTCACTCTCTTTCTCTCTCTCTGGTATGTGTGTATGTGATTTGGTGTGTGTGTGTGTGTGTGTGTGTGTGTGTAATCTTCTGTAGACACCTTCAAATTTGCCCATTTTCATAGTTGGATTCCTTAACATGGCATCAGAATAAAAGGCACTTTAATTATGTTTAACTATATAGACTAATAAGTTGTTATAAGCATGCCAACTTTTCTTTGTACATAATGAGGTCTTAAAGTGACATGCCCTAGAGACATTTTCCCCATTTTCTTGGTGACTAACATTTGGCTCCTCATTAATTATGCAAGTTTCTAAAGCCAGCTTGAATTTCTCCTCAGAAAATTGGATTTACTTTTCTATTACATCATCAGGCTGCAAATTTCCCAAACTTTCATGCTCTGCTTCCCTTTTAAATGTTAAGTTCCAATTCCAAATCATCTCTTTGTGAATGCATAAAACTAAATGCCTCTAAGGGCACCCAAGTCACCTCTTGAATGCTTTGTTTCTTAGAAATTTCTTCCACCAGATACCCTAACTCATCTCTCTCAAGTTCAAAGTTCCACAGATCTCTAGGGTGGGGGCAAAATGCTACTAGTCTCTTTGTTAAAGCATAGCAAGAGTCACCTTTATTCCAATTCCAAACAAGTTACTCATTTCCATCTGAGACCACCTCAGCCTGGACTTCATTGGATCACTATCAGCATTTTGGTCAAAGCTATTTAACAAGTCTCCAGGAAGTTCCAAACATTCCTACATCTTCCTGTCTTCTTCTGAGCCCTCCAAACTGTTCCAACCTCTGCCAGTTACACAGTTTCAAAGTTGCTTCCACATTTTTTAGTATGTTTATAGCATCACCCCACTACCTTGGTACCAATTTATTGTATTTGTCCATTTTCATACTGCTATAAAGAACTGCCTAAGACTGGGTAATTTATTTTTAAAAAGAGGTTTAATTGACTCACAGTTCAGCCTGGCTGGGGAGCCTCAGGAAACTTACAAGGCAAAGGGGAAGCAAGGCACCTTCTTCACATGGCAGCAGGAAAAAGAAGTGCTGAACAAAGGAAGGAAGAGCGTCTTATAAAACCATCATATCTTGTGAGAATTCACTCACTATCACGAGAACAGCATGGGGGAAACCACCCCCATGATTCAATTACCTCCACCTGGTCTCTCCTTTGACACTTGAGGATTATGGAGATCACAATTCAAGATGAGATTTCAGTGGGGACACAAAGCCTGACCATGTCAAGTCTGGATGCGATATGGGGATACCTAGAATGCTGAAAAAGAGAAAAAGGGTGGGACTGAAATCTGAAGTTCCAACAGACAGAGATTGGGAAGGTGAGGGATGATCCAGTAAAGGATACTGAGAAGATGTAGAAGAAAAACAATGATGTAGGAGAAAAAGAAACACTATTTTGTTCTGGAAGCCAACTAAAGAGAATATTTAAAGAGAAAGGAAGTCATGAACTTCCATCAAATGCCAGTGAGTGTTGAAGCAAGCTGTCACTAACATGTTTTTTGCTGACAGGAGAGATCCAACAGAGAAAAATAGATGTTGTTGGTGTAGGGCGGGTTACAGAACAAAGCCTTTGAGTAGGCAAGAGGGGATGAGACCTAGTGCTCAAAAGGTTGGCCCCAGCTAACACTGTCAGTTCAGCCAAATATGAGTTTATGCGTGTGCGTGTACACACACACACACACACACACACACATTTTCACGATTTATAGCTCCATGCACCCACTACTTTCAAAGCTTTGACTTTTACAAAACCCTGTTGGTTAAGCTCACTTTCTCCTTGAGATTTTCAGCAGAGTAAGTGGGAGGACACTATCAGTTATCTTTGTTCGTAATTCAGTGCAATCTCTGTGGTCAGTTTTGCTTCCTTAGCTTGTGAGACCAGATGATGAAACAAATGGAAGGCATAGCTCAGTGTTTTCGGGAGCACACCACAACAGCCCTAGGTGTAGAAGGGGGCACGGGGTGGTATGCCTTTTAAGAAGAACATTAGAAATCTCTCTAAGGTCCTGCGTTGTTTTAGCCCTGTTACAGTTGCTCTTTTGTCTTTGAAGTGACAAATGTGGAATAAATTTTTAACTTTCAGTTCTGAAGTGTTTTGATGAGAAGGATCTTGATTATTCCTCGTATAAGATTGTACTTTATCTCTGTCATATCGCAAGCTCCCAGTACAGCGTGTGGCTTAGAGTAACGAAGTAGTAAAGCTCGCTTTGAAGAAGGTAGAAAAAATTATGATTATCATCACTACAGACCCAATATTCTCAGAGGGGGCTGGAGGATGGCCTAGCTTCAGAATCATGCTCTTTTTTTTTTTTTTTTTTTTTTGCCACAAATGGAGTTCATTAAGTGGCATGTGTATTCCTGTGTGTGTTTGTGTGCATGTGTGAAGAAGAGAAATATTGTTTGTCATTAATAGTGTGAGGACAACCAGCGGGAGCATCCTCAGATGGACAAGTGAGGTAGGGGGTAGGGGGGACAGGTATATTCATTTTTTTTTAATGGGGGTTATCCTGCCTTTACCTTCTAGGAGGATAATGTATGATGTACTAAAACACCCGCCCTATTATTTGTCACTAAGTATCGAAATGGGCGTGATTTGGCATGTAAGACACCCGCTTTTCGTGAGCCCTGCAGAGATACTCTTGGAGTCCTAACCTGACCCTGACTCCTCAACTGTTCGGGAGGCTCTCCCAGTTCTAGCATCCTTTTTGAGAATCCTACCGCGCGCCAGCAATGCTGCTCCGTGGACTTGAGAGAGCCTGCTGAGCATGTGTAAAGATCGCCGCGCATGCTCCGTGGAGTGGGCAGGTTTACCGAGGCGCTAGCAGGGGCTTTTACTACTCTTCACCCGCTTCCCCAGCCCAGAACGCCCCCCTTCCCTCTATCCCACCACCCACCACTCGGTCCCCCGCATCCACCCCGCCCCTCTATCCCGCCCCCTTCACCCCAGGCTGGGGAATCTCCATTGACGTTTGGGTGACGCTGCTGTGCTGCCGCCGTGGGGGGGTGGGGGGGAGTCCAGGCGCCGCACAGGTAACGCCGCCGCTGCCGCCATATTGACATAGCAGGGAGCGGGGAGGGGACCCAAGGAAGCGGGGTGTTGGGGGGAGTCACCACCGAGCGGCCGTCGTGGTGGTGGCAGTGGTGAGCGCGAACCGAGCGGCAGCTCTTGAAGAGGCAGCACAGAGTTGTCTTCCTATGGGAATCACCGGGCGGCGGCGACGGCGACCCCCCGCTCCCAGCCTCTGAGAGACCCGTCGGCGAGCGCAGCGGTAGCTGAAGGCGGGGCTGGGGGTCGCCGCGGTAGCGGCGGCGGCGGCAGCGGCGGCAGCGGCAGCGGCGGGCCAGTTCCTTAGACAGGATGCGCGGCCGCGCCAGCGGTAGGCGGCAGCTCCTGTTCGAGTGCTCCTGAAGGGGAGATGCTACCATTCGCTCCTCAGGACGAGCCCTGGGACCGAGAAATGGAGGTGTTCAGCGGCGGCGGCGGCGCGAGCAGCGGCGAGGTTAGTGTGGTGGCCGAGAGGGGCTGGAGCCAACCCCCGCCTCCTTCCCCTCAAGACCTTGGCTGGGGACCGAGAGAGGAGAGGCGTGGGGCCGGGAAATCGGGCTCCCGGGCAAGCCCCCTTGATGCTTCCTCCACTGCCCTTTCGCTGGGGAGCGGGCGGGGATGAGACGGCGGGCTCGGGCATGCGGAGTGAGTGCAGCCTGGGCCCCGGCTCGGCCTTGGGCGGAGCGCCTGCCTGGCGGGCCGTGCCAGAGTTGTTGTGACGAAGTTTCTTCACTTTCCGACCCGAAGGGGGACTGGGGGACTGGCGGGGTGCTGTGCCTGACTCCGCGCGTCCCTTTTTCTCCGCCGCGCCTAGTTTGCTTCCTGGGAACACTTTGGGGGACAGCTGCGGACTCCAGCTCGCTGTTGAACCCCGGGCGCTTTAGGAACCCAGTGCAACAAACACACCAAGGTGACTAAGTAACTCTGGGAACATTTGCACATACGTACGAGTGTTCCCTGGTAACAGCTTTCTTGTTTCTCTGTGGCTTGTTAGGGTTGCTCGTAATAACCCATGTCGAGATGCACTGGCTACCTCTCTCCAGTCACCAGGTTTCAGGTGATGTTCTACTGCTTCCTCTCAGGTCCCCTTGATTCTACTGCAGTCTTGCTCCGCCCCTTCTCTTTTCCACAACCGCTGTACCCACCCCGTTGGTCTGTAAAAAAAAGATGCAAAGTAAACCCCAGCCCTTATGAATAAGATGAATCTTTGTTAAGAGTTAGCGAGGTTCAACCAAAATACTTTGGTTCACCTCTCTTCCCACTCTTCTTACCTCTGAAATTGTTCTGGTTGGGCTTTGGTCAGCTGTGCAGTGAGAACTTAGATATGCACAGGTGCTTTGTTTTTATTGTTGTTATGAAAGCGGGCAGCATTTAAACACAAAAACGTGTCTTTTGTGATAGAAAGTTGGATCCTTTTCTGATAACTTAATCGACTGCGTACAACTCCAGTAGAGGCCACCATACACCTCCTAAAAATAGTTGGTGAAATTGATTCACAGTAGGATATTTTGAGGTAAGACTCTCAATCCTCAACATCTAAAGGATGCAACTTTGTCTTCAAGTACTTGCTCCATTTTTAAAAAATACGCATTGGGCTGTTATATAATTACCTTGTTCTTTTTTTTTTTTTATCATATATACTGGGGTTAAGATTACATACTAGCATAACATGTAGTAAGGAATGTAGTGGAAATAAATTCAGAAGTACCCTAAATCTGAACCCTCTATACTTATAGGAAATATTTTATTAGTAAACCAAGCAATTCCAATATACATTTTAATATTTTACATCTCGTAAGAACAAGATAAATGAATAGGCGTTTCTTTCTTCTTGAAATGTGGGGATGCTAACTGCTTGCACAATTGTCTAGCAAGTCTATTGAAGGGGAGAGGAATTTTGTTTTATTCATGTATGTAACTTACTGAACTTATAGTCAGGCATTTAGTTTATAAAAACAGTTAAATGCTTTGATATAAGGATGGGACGGGAGGTGGGAAGCGTTTTGCATGCCTACTATTTTATTATTTTTGTTAACTTTGAATGTAGTATGTTTTAAATTGTAATTACCACATGGTTTTTTTATTGTTTGCAGTATGTTTTAGGTATTGTAGAGATTTAACAATGGGTCTCTCTACCTCAGCAATTTGGAAAAATACTCGAGTGGAAATTGTTAATCCCTATGAAGTAAAACGAAAGGTGAAGGTAATGTGGTGAAGATAGTATTTCTGCCTTCTTTCTCTAAAACAGTTATGATTCGTTAGATTTAACCCTGCAAGTTACTTAATAAAAAATATTCTAGGTGAAAACTGAATGCTACATTTGAACAGACCCACTTAGTACCTAGAAGAGTTTGTTTTTAAATATATTCTTTTGATAAGAAGTAAACAAGTTTACTTTTGTTAATTTATATTTATTTTAATTATAAATTTGTTGATGTTGGCTTTAGAAATGCTGATTTTGAGTACAAGCTCTACAACCCTCAATTGTGATAATTTAGGACTAAGTGTTTTTGTTGTAGAATATATATTTTAAAAATGTAATGGAATCCTTAAAATGTAGGTGAGAACCTGTTAACTTTAATGTCAAAAGAAATAATTTCCGTCTATTTCTGTGTGTGTGGAATCCTGGTAAGATTAAAGATTATAGACATTAACATATATTTTTGAGTCTTTTTGTATATTTTGCCTGTCTTGCTTGCATGGACAGTTTTTAACCTTTGAATTATCATTCAGAAGTGTGTAAATTGGCTGGTTGAGATTCTTAACATGTTTTCCCACAGGAAAAACTTATTAAGGGTACTTACATTTTTAGATGAGTACACAGTAGCAAGGTATAATGATGATGAGCCTAACCACTGTATGTAAAATTGTTCTATGGTGAAATGTGTTGAGGTTTCAACCAATGATTAGCTTGGTTCCAGTGAGAGGTAGAGAATGGGCCTGAAAGGGGGTAACCTGGGATCTTTTAGTTTCTGGGAAGAGAGTTCTTAGAAGAGGGAAGATAGGGTAAGCAAGAAAGCCTGCTTGTGAGAGCTCTTGCAGGGACTGTCTCAATTAGGTCTACTGGGAATAGGAACTTCAAAGGGTATCACCCCTCAGTCAGCCACAGATTTAGCTCTTGCCTGGATTCTGTCAGGATCAAAAAAGAGGTTTTACTTGAGGTGGAATGGCTATTGGTCCTTCCTGGGCAAGGATCATAAAGAGCAACCGGTTTGACTAATGTGAACTTTTCATGAGTTAATGTCATGCATGTTACAGTTTGTTCACTTAGTTGTTTGTTTTTTTGGTGAGGAACAAAATGCTTTCTTATGGAGTTGATTATAGAATTTTCACATTTCATATCATATTAAAAGTCTAGTATTTTAATATTATTTCTCTAGCAATGCTGCTTTTGTTTAAGCAAGTTAGGTTTTTTTTTTTTTTTTTTTTTTTTGAGTCAGAGTCTTACTATGTCATTGTCCAGGCTGGCCTTGAACTCCTGGACTCGAACAATCTTCATGCCTCAGTGTCCCAAGTAGCTGGGACTACAGGTGCTGACAACCATGCTTGTCTAAGCAAATTAGATTTAAGAGTATATAGTTTACTGATAAAAACCAACTAGGGAAAACTTCTAGTTTTAATTAATTTTCATGAGACTCTGTAGTAATAGAGGAAAGAACAGCTTTGTAGGCAGACAAATCCGGTTTCTTGTCTGAATAACATGCCATACTCATGGTGTGACAAAAGGCACATTACTTAACCCCTTTGAACCTCACTTTCTTTATCTATAAATTGGAGAAAAACCATCTTCAAGAGTTGTTATGTAAAGAAAATTCAGTGCTGAGTTTAATAAACTTGGCAAGATGTTTTGCACATAGTAAGTGTCTAGTACACAATGGTTCCCTCTATTTTCCCATAGCCATCATGCTTCTTTCCCTGCCTCTAAAGTCTGAACTATTGTCATCTATATTAAAATCCTGGGATTCAGATAACCATTACCATAGCCCCAGCCTTTCCTTTTATAAGCAGTTTTTCTTAAGACCCCTTTCTAAATTTGATTATTTCATCTAAGTATAGTGGTGCTCTCACTCTGAACATTTGTAATCACAGGGTGATCCAGGGATAAAATACAGAGTTGTATTTAGAAACGCTTGGAAGGATAAGGAGAGCCAAATAATTTCATTTGTTAAATCTGCCTGATGAGGTGTTTCATTAAACTTTTTATTATTATTTTTTAAAACTCTGAACTCTTGTCATGGTAGGATTCGGTTCAATTCATGAAGCGTTTATTGAGTACAGGGCAGTGCTGTACATAGTACTGTGATGTGAAATGACTAAAAATATACCACAGAGTCCCACCCTATCCCCACAAGTTTACATTCAGGTAGTAAGACAGGCGTATGTGGAAATTGTTATTGTAAAAGGCATAAGATTATCAACAATGCATGGTGGTGGTGGTGGTGGTGGTTTAGGGATGGATCTGGTAAGGCTTTGTGAAGGAGGTGGAATTTGAGCAGGGCATTAGAAAGTGGCAATATTTTCACAGACAGATGAAAGGAGCATATTTTACATGGATGGCTGCAATATTAGAAAAGGCATGGAGGTGTTCCGAAAGAGGAATCTGATACTGTTAATAAGTCTGTGATGTGGGAGAGAGATAGTGAGAGATAAGGTAGTGAATGTATTAGAGGTAGGCTAGGCCCAGGTTGAATGGGACTTTTTAAACTAGTTTAAGCATTCAATTTTATCTCATAAATAGGAGCCACTGAGGGTTTTTGAGGACATGAGTGACATTATCAGATTTGTGCTTTGAAAAATAACTGATGATAGTGAGAAATGGGAGAGATAATATGGAAGGTGGGGAATACCAGCTAGGAGGCTATTGTGTTAGTGGAAGTAGTAGTGAGATTTTGAACTAGTATAGAAGGGGTAGAAAAGAAATGACTGATGTGAGAGACCTGGCAGAGGTAGAATAGTTACAGTTTGATAACTGATTAGGTGTTGGAGAGTAAGAAAAAATAACAAACAACTGAGATTAGAAGTGTCCTGGTAGGAATTAATACAATGTAACAGATATATAATGCATGCCTGTGAATATAAGTCTCTATATTAGCCACTAGGCTAACATAAAAATAAATAGATCATTGGAGTATAGGGAGATAGAAATCTAAAATGAACTCCCCCCTTTCTAATATTGTATTGAATAATAGCATTCCACTCTGAAGATTTCCTTCATGCATAGAATGCTTAAATCCTTTACTACTAAAAGTGAATGCACTTATTACTAGCTAAACTGTTTTTTTTAATGGGCCTTAGGCCTGTAATTCTTGTTTCACCAATGCTCATCTTAAATAGTCAGCAGCTGTGAGTACAGAGCCCTGTTCTGAAAACAGTGACCAGTACTTATTTCTGGAATGTGGAAGGAGAGCAGGGGCATCTGTATTTTTTGTATGCTTTCACTAGGTTTATTTGGAA